TGGTGTTAAGGCCATCTCCAACCACAACACCATTGCACCATTTTGCACCATTTTTTGGTGCAAAATTGCTCCAACCCAACACCAAACTTTGCACCATTTTGGTGCACCATATTCACTTTGCACCATTTTGCACCAAAATGGTGCAAGTGTAAAATGCCAATTTCGCCCTTATTTTACATTTCCCAAATAAATTTGTTGAGGGTATTTATGTAATTTGTGCTATATATTTTTTAATACAATAAATTATTATTTTTTTTATTAATATTAATAATTATTTGTGTTTAAAATAAATTTTAAATGTAAGACATAATAATTAATTAATTAATTAAAAGACGAAAATAATTTAAAATACATCAAACACGATTAATTATTTATTTATTTAGTAATTTATGTATTTCTGAAATAATTAAATAAATAATATTTCAAATAAGTAGATTATAAAGAATAAAAAAAGGGAAGAAAATGGTTAAATACTGTTCATTTGGTGTAATTTTTGGTGTAATGGTTGGAGATGAATTTTAGTTTGGTGTAAGATTTGGTGCAAAATTTGATGCAAAATGGTGCAAAATTTGGTGCTGGGTTGGAGATGGCCTAAGGTGTTAAGTAATTGTATAATTAGATTATGTAGTTAATAAACTAAGAAGTAAGTTTTGGTGCATCTTCTAAAAAGTTGACTCAATAATTGCATTTTTTTAAATGTGTTTTCTGTATTATATGACAGGTGGGGCATATTTGTTTCTGACATTGTATTGGATACTATTTTAGTTCTTCATAAAAATAAAAAAAATACCAGAAACATGTTTTCAAGATTTAGCACTCACGTTCTTTCGTAAATATTTTTGGAAATAAGGCAAAGAATCGAGTTTTATATTTCCTGACTTTTTGAATCCATATAGTGGGAAAAGACAGACAAGACATGGAATGAATGTACTTCTAAACAGGCTGCGTAAAAATGACAGCGTGAAGTGGAATTAATAATATCTTCAAAATTTATTGATGTTCTAATGGATCTGAGGCAAAAACTGAAAAAGTAATAAGCCAACTGACAAATGATATCCTTATGAGTTGTCATGGTACCACAGAACCGTGGAGTATAATTACTGGTTTTACTTATACAGTTTTGGTTTCCATATGAAATTTTTATCTTGATTCCTGTGTCTTGTGGACATATTGTTATGAGTCAGTGAATTGCCTTGGACTAATTCCTCCTTGAACTGAAGCTGCTTGCTTATCCCAATTATTCCATACCATTAGACGAGGCAAGATGAGCCACTTTCAAATGAAGGCAACCTTTGTTGATTGCTCCATAATATTTGCTGAGCATGTACATTGTCTTTGATAATCAGCATTCAGCATCTTACTTGACAATTTTTTCTGGTCTTCCAGTCTACAATTGAGCAGCAGAAGTTGCATGGATGTGGTAATTTGAAGTCACCTCGTAGGCCTACAAACATTCATAATCACAGAACAGGTCCCAAGCACAGCCTAAATGGCGTGCCTCCATTTCCCGTACCCTTTCCCTATCATCAACCAACTATCACACCAGTTTTTCATACTATGGTTCCGATGCCACACATGTCTGTCCCAGGATATGCATATCAGTTTCACCCTGGACCATTTGTGAGACCTGAAGCTCAATTGGTAAAATCCAATAGCAACACTACAGTACAAGGCTTTACTCCACCAGTAAATAGGGGTTTCAAGTCGTCGTCACGCTCTGATTCCTGGGACCATGATGCCAAGACTGGTGTAAGGAGACCTAGTGTGCAAGATCAAGGTGGCCAGTTGAATCCTTGGCATAATCAGCGACCAGTTGTTTCTAATAACAACTTTCATTTGCAGCAAACCATGGGGCCTAGGCCTTTCCCAAAGCCTCCATTTGTTGATCAAGCAGGCTTTGTTGATGGATCAAATTTCCCAGGTAGTAACATATATCTCAATATGAAGCCACCTTAATAAATGATAACGTATATTTTTTGTATTAAGATTCCACATTTTGTGATTATCTCTCCATCTGATTTCCCTTTTCCTTTGTTTTTCCCACCTGTTCCTCTTGAAGCAGTTGCTTATTTCCAATTATCTAACAAGGTGGTTGTCTATGGTATAGGTCCTCCAGGAGCTCTATATTATTTCCCTGCTGCTCATCCAGGCCCTGTTAGAGTACCTTATCCACCATTTGTTGTTCAATATCCTTTCAACCCTGGAGTGCTCATGCCACCCTCACCAATGTTAGCCTTGAAAGCTAACATCGTAAAGCAAATTGAATATTATTTCAGGTGAATTGCTTGAGAAAGATCTCACTATTAGCAATATCTTGGCCTTCCTTTTTTTTTTTTTGGTGAAAATTGACATCAGGCTAAATTTATTTTCCTGAAAATGTTTCATCTTGGAATTGTGGTCTCGACAATGAATTATTATGTTAATCTATTGATTGGATATATTTTTTTTTTATCTCTTGGAGTCTGGTTAAATTATTTTTGCATAATTGGGATTTTATATGTTAAACTGATTATTCACAATGATGGGTTGTAATTATGTACGTTGGATCTGGTGATTTTTTTTGAGATTATTGATTTGTAATAAGTGAAATTAATAAAGGTACATTATGTATGAATAATAGACAAATATTTGAGTTTTGAATTTCATTACTTTGGCAGTGACGAGAATTTGCAGAATGATCACTACTTGATTTCCTTGATGGATGACCAAGGTTGGGTTCCAATTTCAATTATTGCTGGCTTTAAAAGGGTAAGCTGTGACGAGTTTTCTTTATTGTTTTATACATACTGTATTAAGAAGTTCATTTTCCTTTATTAGGAAATCATATCTTGTGGAATCAGGATCAACTGAGGTTTACTATTTGTGGGTTACGGGGGTGGGCGGGTGAGGAGGCAATGATATTTAGGTTTCCTCTGAATACTGTTCCCAAGCCTGCAAGCTTGATTTAGCTCCTCAAAATTCTATCATGTTAGTATGTGCAATCATGCTACTATGCTTCCCTTTTTCAGGTTAAAAGTATGAGCACAGATATACCATTTATTCTGGATGCATTGCATGCTTCGAGTACTGTTGAAGTGGAGGTTAGATAATGTTCCTCTCTTTATTATGCGCTGCATGGGTTTCTACTTTTCCTCTACTATGGCATCTGATTTCTCATTTTAGATTTCACGTTTTTTTAATCCTTCATTCTGGTCATTGAATGATTCCCCTTCATCTGCCCTGAGCGTTATTTCCACAGGGTGAGAGGCTGAGGAGACGCGATGAGTGGTCAAAGTGGATTCCATCTGTTACTGATAAATCTTCTTCTCTAGTTCCAAAAGCTCTGAAGAATGATGAGCTCAATGATTATAAAATGGACAGCTCTGAAAGAACAAATGAATTTTCTTTTCCAACTGGAAGTTCTGTCGATCACCTACCATCAGGTGAAGATTCGAAAAACAAGTCAGTTAATGATACAGATCAAAACAAAGATAAGGTCCTATTTGGTGGTAAAACCCAAGCATCTGCTTTAGGAGATTGTAATTCATGCGTGGGAAATGATTTTGAGTCAAATAATAGACATAATGGCCTTGACCTTAATAAAAGTTCGAGTTTCCCATCCACTTCTCAAGGAGCTGATTCTGTGAAGTTGAGCATTGTTGGAGGCTCTGAAAATAGAAAGACACAAATGCATTCAAATCTTGTTGTGCAGAATCTGAATGACTTATCCATCTGCTTTAGGAGATTGTAATTCATGCGTGGGAAATGATTTTGAGTCAAATAATAGACATAATGGCCTTGACCTTAATAAAAGTTCGAGTTTCCCATCCACTTCTCAAGGAGCTGATTCTGTGAAGTTGAGCATTGTTGGAGGCTCTGAAAATAGAAAGACACAAATGCATTCAAATCTTGTTGTGCAGAATCTGAATGACTTATCTAATGATTTTTCAAGTACTTTCATGCTTGATGAAGAACTGGAAATGGAGCAGAAAATAGTAACGAAGGATCATCCTTCTACTGGAGAAAGGTATTCCATACTTGATATATGTTTATCTGCAATCCTTGTGCACTTCTGTCGCGAAAGCTTTATTCTTATTTTAATATTTTTTTACCTTTGTTAATGTGGTCCAGGCCTTAAAAGGACAAACTTTGACTTTTGGTCCCCTCTTTTTTGAAAAGAAAAAAAAGGCCATTGCATGATATATTTAAATGTTACTCGTAGAACACCCGTGCCTCTACTTTGCATTATGTTCTTCAACAAAATAAATGCTGATTATTGGCTTATTAATAGTATTCATTTGGACCAAGTGAAGTGGATTTCAAATTAAGGTCTTGAATTCCCCTGAAACTCTCTTGGTAATTTATTTCTTGATGGATTTCAATTATGTGTGGAACTTACATTACTTTAGGTGCCTCTAATCCAACAGTGTTAAGCAGCAGCAAATTCTATAAAATTTCAACTTGTTTCATTCTGGACTAATTTTTGCAGTACGCCGTAGGAGAATCATGGTAATGTGTCTACAGTGCTTTTTAACATTATCATCTACCGCCTACAAGAATACCATGTTATTTCTAACAATATGTTTAGATTGACTTTGATCAGGGAAAAATTAGAATTTTTTCTGTTTAAATTGTTGTAAAAGATTTCAATCAGAGTTTCAAAATGCAACATTAGAATATTGACTATGGGTTTTGGATATTTTAACTTTGTTCTCTAGGTAAAAGACATGAGATTGTTGTATAAGGTTGCTTAATTTTTATTTATTTATTTATTTTTTTGAGTGGGGGGTGGGGGAAGTGAGATACCAATAACCTTGACCTCTGTGGAAACAACAATTCCTCACCAGCTAGAACAAGGAGAATTGGTTTGTAAAAGGCTGCTTGGAGGTTCCTTTCAGATATAAATTAAACTTATTATTTTTCATCTGCCTTAGAATTTTTTAAACCAGATTTTCTCTACATTAGCTATTCAACCATTTAACAAGATTTCCATCAATTAGCAATATACATCTTTTTATGCAATCAGCTCTGAAAAGCCTATATACGTTGTGGAATAAGACCAATTTTATTTTGAAATGAGTCATTTTTCACATCCATAGCACAATATTGCTTTGGTCTGTGATGCTTTACTTTCTAGTGCATGAATTGGCTTCGTAGGAAGGTGAATAATATGTTTTCATAGGAAGCATCCTGTCCAATCTGTAACTTAATGGTTGAGCTAACTGATGTGCCATCAATAAGGTTAGGCATGAAATATGGTTATTTCTTTTATATATGGCCGGGAGACTATCATTTTTAGCTGAAGTCTTCTTAACAGCAGATGATTGGATTCTGTTGAGAGTAAAGGGAACAAAAACAAAAGAGATGCACAAAATTTTTAATTGAAAATTATGAATTTGAGGTTGTATGTATGCTTGGTATACTATGATTCTCCTTTTGTCAATCTATGATTGGATTATTCAACTACTAGTGAATGCAGTTTTGGAGAACCTCTTCAACTGTAGAAGATGATGAACTTATTACTAAGTCGATGGGGAGACTATCATTTTTAGCTGAAGTCTTCTTAACAGCAGATGATTGGATTCTTTTGAGAATAAAGGGAACAAAAACAAAAGCGATGTACAAAATCTTGTTTTGAAAATTATGAATTTGTGGTTGTATGCTGGGTATACTGTGAGATTCTCCTTCTTTCAATCTATAATTGGATTTTCCAACAAATGTTGAGTACAAATTTTGAGAACCTTGTTGACTGTAGTAAATGATGAACTTCTTACAAAAGGTGTCAGGGGCGAAGCCAGGAATTTTGTCCAATGCGGGCAAAATTTAATCAAGGTTAAACTTTTCGGTTACGGATTTAATGATATTACGACAATTCTAAAAATGACATAATGACAACACTAATAAGATGATAATCTTCTTCCTCATTTTAGGATCTGTAGCAAGTTGTGCAAAATCAAAATCCTTTTTTTTCGATATCTCCACATCAACATTTTCTACGAAATATTTTCTTTTAAAGAATCTCTCCATTGGTATTTCACAGTAAAATAAACCACAAGTGACAATTAATTACTAATTGATAAGAAAATAACTACTAATTTTTACAAATTGGTAGAACAGAACAAACACCATAAAATCATCACTAATTGTCTAACTAATTGACAGAAATCAAGATTTCAAGAATTCATCACAAATATTACCAACATTTACAAAATCAAAATCCCTAATATTAAACAGAAAAATCACATGATTAAGAAAGTTTTTGCTGCAAATTTGAGGGCCCAATAAAATGTGGGTTTTAGGAAAGAAATGAACTTTGAAAAATATTTCAAAGCGAGGGCATATTAAAAGAAAATTTTTAATTTTTTGCCGAGGGGAAAGAGTTAGAAAATGTCGCCGTGCACTTGGAGTTGGGGTAAATTAGTGTATGGGTTGGACTATAAATAAATGAAAAACACAATACTTTAAAAGAAAGTAAAAAAAAAATAAGGATAAAAATTGGATTGACCATGGGCGGAGAGTGAATGGCTCCGCCCATGAAAGGTGTTACAAAAGAGTGGTACTGTCATTTCCATTTCATTGGGCTCACCGTTCAAGTTTTCCTTATCTTGGACCATTTTGAGTTATTTCTTTGAGAGGTCACTTTCTCCTTTTGCATAGAAAAACATTGATACTCCATTTTTATGTAATAGAATTGCTCAATTCTTGAGAAGTACAATTGCTTACTTTAAAAACTTTAATTTTCTGATACAGTTTTAGTATTCCTTAATGCAAAATTTGCTGCGCATATATAGTGCTCTAGTTTTTGCCTTTCATTGACTGTAAACTTCTCTTACGTTCTCACAACATTCTGACTTATCTTCTAAAAAACTTCGTGCCATTACTACAAAAGAGTTGATGATGAAGATGATGAGATCATTGTCAATGATCAAGCTGTGGAGAGGCTAGTCATTGTTACCCAGGCAAGTCCATGAGGTGCATTGACACCAGCATTCTGTGATCTTTTGTTGTACGGAATGGCTTTAGCTAGTCTCAGATAATGCTCTATTATGTTCTATTATGTTAGCTATTATGATGTTATTATGCTGTTTTCTGTTAATTGTAATTTCCAATCAACATAAAGGGAGAAGATCGTTGCAATCATGATCAAGATTCACTCAAATGTTGGAACGTATAAAAAAAAAATGAGTTCCGACTTTTTTGCTAGTACGCGATTGAACATTTCAATTTTATTCTTGGTGGAATGATCCTTGCCTGGTATGCTTAATTTGCTTTTACTGCTCTACTCATTTTTTTGGAGGGTGCTGATGCTGAGCAGTATTTGCAAATTGCTATAACTGTCTTTATTTGTTGATGAAGTCAAATATTCAAGATGCATAATCTGGATATTTTCTGATAATTTTTTACGCTTGATCTCTTCATGTGAATATTTAAGAACACACATTATACGAGGTTAATTTAGAGCTTGTGCCCTTTTTCTTTCAAGTTCCTAGGCAAGGCTACTGCTAAGCATCCAGAAAGCTTCAAAAGTTACTTGTTGAGTGGTAATTCTTATTTGCGGAATTGGACAAGGACATTGTAGAGTATTTAGCCTTCGACTAAACCTGGAAGGTCACATAAATAGACATGAGGGAACTGTAGATTTCGAGGTAGATTGGACTGTGAATTTTTGCCATGTGTAGCAATTATTAATAGCAAAATAATTCTCTCAATTTCTAAAACATAAGAAATTCTGGACATATATTCCCAGATGTTACAACATTATTTGATTCCCTTCTCCATTATTATCAGTGACATTAAAAATTAAAAAACTAAATAGAACACACTCCCTATTGAAATTCCGGTTTTTCTCTTTTTTCATATGGCACAACTATAGTAATAATAATATATTAAAATATCACATCAAGGGAGTGTCATTTTTTGGACGATTTTAACCCTTTACAATTCAATTATTTCAATAATACCTTACTTTTCATTTTTCGATACGTAATAAATACTACAAATTTATTGTCATTCATGCAATTTGTGTTTTTAATTTTTAATTAATTAATATTCACATTAGTCAAGATTTAATGAATTTTCACTTGATGAATCTTGAATTACATGAATCTAGAGTTATTATAGATGATTATTCATGTTTATGCATTTAGAAATTTTAATGGGTGTTTAAATTTATAATCATTACAAAAAGTTTGAATCATAGAAATTGAGCTTTGAGAGAACAATTTGTGTATAATTTTCTTCTCTCAAATTTCTATGTTAAATTTTATTTTCCTTAATTCGTTCGAGACTCATCGAAGCCTCCAACAAATTGGTACCAAATATTACTTTTACATCACTTATAAAATATTTTAGAATAACATGCATTGCACGTTCAACTTTGACTAGTTCACAGAAATATTACATTGTTGTGCCAGGCACATGTGATACTTGCAATTTGATTCTGTTTTGATTAGGTCATAACCATCTTTCTCATTGAACTTGTTTTTGTCAGCCTATTGTGTCCAAATTGTTGTTCTTAATTCTTTCAAATTATCTTAACTGATACTAATATTATTGATGATCTTGTTTACCTATTGCATAGAAAATGATCTTTTCACATAATTTCTGTGAAAGTATCCACTAATTAGAGTGTGTATATAGTTGTTTACATTTTTTATTTTTAGAACTTATACTGAATTTAAACAATCTGATGAAAGGTAGGGCTGGCTTTTTTTTTTTTTTTTTTTTTTGGAGAAATTTACCTGAAGGCACTCTTGCCACTGGTTAGTGTTTTATGACTAACTAGATATGTACTACAGAATAGTTGGATGAGTGAAATTCAAGGGCAAGAATCAAAAAGAATATCCACTGAGCTCGCTTCTGCTATAAATGACGGTCTATACTTTTATGAGCAGGTTGACTTTAGTTTTCTATTTTTACTACGTTTTTACCTCAATTAAAAGCAATTGTTTTTTATATTTTGCTTTTTGCAGGAGCTGAAGTCAAAACGATCTCATCATAGGAGTTGCAAGCCCAATAATGAAAGCAGGGACGAGATATCCAAATATTCTGTTGCAGGTGCTGCTCAATCAAATTCAAGGAATCCTGAACCTTCTTCTTGTGGCCATGAGGAGACTGGAAATTTGAATTCTCGAAGGAAGCAAAATAAAGTCAGTTCCAAGCAGCAATACATTCATAAGCAGCGACTATTCTCTGGAAACTTTAAAGGTCATAGAAGTGTCAAAAACTCTCTCGGCATGACGACTGAAAGTCCACCCAGTGATTTAGTTGGTTTTTTCTTTGGCTCTACTCCTCCGGATAGTCATGGGTAAGTTCAGGACGCATTCATATGCTCTTATTGTTCTTTATCATCTTGACTAATTTTATATTGCTTCAGTCAAAGGTAAGTTTCTGAAGTAAACAATACATTTATGTAAGCTTTTTGCTTAAGGTTTATTGTCCGATCATAAATTTTAAATTTTCTAAAGCTAAACTCTCAATTTCCCAGGCCAAGGCCTTCAAAGTTGAGTGCTTCACCTCACAGCAATCTTCCTGGAAGTAGTCCGCCTGTTGGATCAATGCCAAAGCCATTTCCTCCATTTCAGCATCCAAGTCATAAGCTTCTAGAAGAAAATGGTTTCAAACAACAGCTGTAAGTAGATATATTTTAAAGACTGTTAGGATACCAAAGCAATTCTGCTCATTGATTTTTCAACGGGGCTATGGATTCTTCTTTTCAGGTATAAGAAGTATCACAAGCGGTGCCTTAGTGAACGAAAAAGGTTGGGTGTTGGTTGTAGTGAGGTATTCTTTTAAATATTTGCATAACGTCTTCAATTGTCTGGTAGACATCTAGTCTGATCTACTAGTTTTAGGAAAAATATTGATGCAGAAGACGTGCTAAAGAAGGCAAATTTGGTAGTTCATATACACAGGACATTTGAAAAAACTGCATGAGTTTTATCCTTTTTTTAGTAAACTGCTTAGACATTGTTACTCAGGATAATACTTTTGAGAGTGTCATTATTATTATTATTTTATTTATTACCTTTTTTTTTTTTTTTTTGGCTAGATATGGGTATTGCCCATTAGGCTTTTTCTTAATTCTTGTTGTGTTTTGGTGCTTATGAAGAATTCTAATTGATCACAGAATAATCTTTTAACCTTCCTAGTTAGTCCTAATTTTCCTAAGTTGAGATGGATCTATTTGTACAATCTTTATATTCATATGGAGTTAATCATCATGACAAACTAATGTTCTGTTGTGTGTTTCCCCTTATTAGGTTTTTTATTTTTCTGTTCTTTTCTTTAACTTTCTTCTTTATGTCCACCTTACTCTACTCGTGTGATTTTCACTATCTCTGGAAGCAGTGCAAAAACTTTTATAAAATTCCCCCCAAATTCTTTTGGGGAAATCATCCTAAACCCATTGCCCATGGAGATTTATTTCAAACTCTGCTAAATTTATCACAGAAGTCTGTACAAGAATTTTCGAAATCTGTCCTTCACCAGTAAAAGCTTATCAGAGCCCAAAAATCCTAACAGGAAGACAATGGAAATATATTTTTCAGCATTTGCGATCCTATGGAAAACATTCTTTAAGACCTTGTTATTTCTTTGGAAAAATATTCCTAATTCATCACCAATTATCACGTAATTTACATCATATCCACGATGCAATCTGTCATAGGAGTCTCTATGAAAGAGTATTTATAACTGTCATGCATCAGAGATCTAACATTCTTTTTAGATGGGCAATGCTACTGACTTCCCCTTTATTTAGCAAACTTGAAGATATGTTTAATGTATCTTATTAGTGTTTATAGATATGTCATTGCCTCTAAGATGAGTAAATGGGGTGTATCTTCCCCGTTGGCATCTCGGAAATGTGCATAATGATTAAGTACGCTGAACGTGCCAATTCTTTTCTATAACTGGACAATCTACTAAATTTTTCTGGTTTAAAAGGATTTATATAATGCAATATATGAATATTTTATTCATACATAAATTTATTGTGGATGCAGTGTATACAGTTTCTCTCGATTTATTCTTTTTAACTTCTCCAGCAATCCAACTGTTTATTTGTCTTGATTTTATCCATCCATATGTTTATATGGAATGTGGACGGATTGAATGGTGTACTTTGATGTATAAATGCCACGTGCAATTCTTGCAGGAGATGAATACACTCTACCGATTTTGGTCTTATTTCTTAAGGAACATATTTATTCCTTCCATGTATAACGAGTTTCGGACTCTGGCTCTTGAAGATGCTGCTGCTAATTATAATTATGGGATAGAGTGTCTATTCAGGTTCTATAGGTAAGCTTCATGCATTGTTTGCTTGTCCATGTTTCTTTATTAAGAATTTTCTTTGTATTTAACTACTCTTCTTTCTCAAATGTTCTCTGTTTTAGATTGTTTTGTCACTTGTTTTTTCTTTTCGTAGTTATGGTTTGGAGAAGGTATTCAAAGAGGATTTGTATGAGGACTTTGAACAGCTGACACTTGACTTCTACAATAAAGGAAACATTTATGGCCTCGAAAAGTACTGGTAAGTGTCAGCCATATATAGCAGCTTGAATTATGGGACGTTATTGTCAAAATCTGTATACTCTATAATTGTATTCGGTAAATAGGATAATTTAGTTCTTACCATATTTAGGTAGCAAACTTACTGTAATCACTGTAATTCTTGGCTTTGTAAGACGAGGGAATCCCTCGATTGAGGGGCAATTCGAATCAAATTAACTACATTATTGTTACTGAACTACTACTTACAGTGAACAGATTTTAGTGATTATTTCTCCGTAAGATAAAATAATTGTGTGGGAGAGAACTAAATTGATCAGAATGAGTATAAATTACGACAGATTTAGATAAACTTAAAACATAGCTTATGAATTTACAGTTTCCGCTTCTGGGTAAGGGGATTTGATTACTGTTGTTATATAGAATCATAGTTTGTATTATGAGTGCTTGGTGGGACAAATGGGATTAGGAAATTGGGTTAAGTCGAAATTCTGGGAGGATAGGGAGGTGTTAGTGAGTACCTGAAGGACAGACATTAATGAACACGTAGGAAAGGACCGTGGAGCTTTTGATATGATACATAGGGATTTGATTTTTTAAATAAAAATGATGCTGAAGTGTCTTTCCAGAATTACCTTTAGGCTTATGATCTAATACTAACAAGAACTTTTTTTAAATTTTTTCCGGATAGGAGGATAAGCACTTCTACTGTGAAGGCTGGGCTGGTAGGACTTTGATATATTTTTCTTTGGTATGAGGATTCATGAATCCTGAACTGTTTTGGTTATAGATATTTGCTTTGGGCAACAATCGAGTATGCAAAAGAATATGAAGGATCTTAAAGTGAAATGGTGGAACTGAAGGATGATAAGTGAATCATAAAGGTGTCTGGGGATTTGACTTGGGATTTTGGATGATACTCTAAATTTTATGTGGATTAAAATGACTGATTGTATAATGAAGACGTCAACCATGGTTTTGGCGAGATAATAAAGGAGGGAAGCTTACTGTAGGGAGTTGTGGTGGTTGATAGTGATCAAGATGCTATTAAGAGAAAAAGAGCATTTTACATGAGGTTGCAAATGACTCTGAGCGAGTGAAGATCTTGAATAATGTAGGTGGGCAAGAAAGGAATCCATGACAGCTGCTAAAATGTGGTGAAAGAATATGATGAGTTTTCTAGGCACAGAGGAGAGGAGAAGAGGGATAGGTTGGCCAAAGGTGGGCAACTGAAAACTAGAAAACTTACCAGTGTCAGTGCATTAAGAGTAAGGACGCAAGAGTCTTGATAAGAGATGAAAACATTAAAGACAGGTGGTAATGCTATTTTTTGGGAGATTGTGGAATGAAAATTCTAGAACAGATATTTTGATAGAAGAATCTATTAAACAAAGGAAAAGCTGTGTATCTTATCGAGGACTTGGAAGGACTGCAAATACTTGCCACTAGTTGCACATGCATGCGATAATAAGCATCAACCAGTCATCACATTCTTCTCGTATTGTACTTAGGCATAAGGGTCAACTGCATTTCTGTCTATCGTTACTAAAACTTCTACGAGATGTGTAGTAGTGTAATATTTTATTAGCCTCCTTTTAGACTAATAATTAGCTTTTAGTTATGTTCCTAGAAATTACGAATTTCAAACCATGTCTAAGATCTGTTGCAATGAGCTGTGTTGCTGAAGGCCAAACTACTACAGCTTGACAACCATCAAATCATGAGTTTCCACGTAGGTTAAGCACAAAAACTGAAAATATGGATCCAATATGATTATGGATATGCCTTGCTAACTTTGTTTTTCGATTTCTAACACTAGTGCCATTGCTCTGCATTTTCACGCTGTTCAGGATTTCAGGGATTGTTGGATATCTGATTTATCTTTTTGTTATCCATCCTTGAGATTGTTAATCTAAAGCCTCATTTTGTGATAGATTTAAGGGGGAAAGCTTTTTGTTCGCAACTTTAGGAGCTTCAACATCTAAAGGAGTTCTTAGGATTTTCTTTTATGATCTATGTGATGCATTCTTGGATTTATTTTGAAATTTATTTTCTCTTATGTTTTTGGAGTACTTCATGTCCTCTTGGTGAATGTACCTTGATGTCACAATTATTGTCCTCTTGTCAAAGCAGAAGTTATAACTGTTCTTCATTCCTAAACCCTGACTTGGTTTTTATAACCTGCATATTTGTTATGTCAGTATCAGATTTTATTTCTTGTGGACATATTCATCGTGACCAGCTTTAGTGGAAGTTCAGAAAATACTGCATCATCATATATAAAATCCATTATTGTTTTGCGGTAAATTGAATGGCAGGGTATTTGAAAGCTTATAGGCTGAATCTTAATATGACTCAATAATTAATATCTTGTTCAAGACCAGATATGCACGAATCCACGTGAATACGACATTTTTTTCATTTGGAATTGTCCTCGTTGTGTTTGCCTATTGTCGTTCTTTTTCTTGGATATTCCTTCTCTTCCTTTTAGTTTGGACTAATCCTTACTTGGCAGGGCATTTCACCATTACCGGGAGGCACGTGACCATAAAGAACCGTTAAAGAAACACCCAGAATTGGACAGACTGCTCAGAGAAGACTATCGTAATTTGAATGACTTCAAAGTTAAAAACCCTCCTATGAAAGAAGATAGTCACTAGCCTCAAGGCTTTATGCTGCAAAATTACATCCAAAAACTGACAAAATCGCAATTTTGGGAAGAGAAATGTGACGGGTTGTAGAACAAGCTGAATTTGATGTGCCATTTGTGTGAGAAATCGAATGACTTTGTATATAGTATGTTGACAGGTATTAGAATTTTGGTTCAGGAGAGTCAAGGGCTCTCTAGGAGTTTTTGGAGTTCTCCAACGACTTGGAGGCAATTTTGGTTTTTGTCGGATGTATAACTTGTATATAAAGGAAAATATGGAGAAAAAAAAAAAAAAGGTTGAAAAAGAGAAAAAAAATAAAAAATGTATAAACTTGAAATTTATAGAGATTAAACAATAAGTTTTTGAAAAGTACCTTGGTTCGTCTTGTTGGAGTAGATTATGGTAGTGTTATGTGAATGTCTCGATTGTTAGCAGGAAATTTCTTTGAGAATAAGCAGTCATGGATATATAAATCTGACTATAAAATATAAATAACTATGCCAGGTTTACAAAATGTATTGAAGGAAAATGACTTGGAAACCAAGAACTCTCTCGGTACACTTGTCACTTGTATTAGTGAATTTTGAATCGTTCTATTTTCTTACTGGGTTTTATAACTTGTTCTATTTCCCTCCCCAATGATCTTTTCGATATTCCCTTATGGTACTATTCTGCTGTCAATTAGTTGGGAGAATTTAGCCTTGCCCAGTACTTGCTGATTCGCACGAAATTCAGCGTGTTTAGTGTTACTCGGGTCAGAGCGCAAGTGATTCTTTTGACTATTGAACTTTTATTACCCAAGGTTTATTTTGGTTTTACAAGCATGTTATTCAACCGTTTAGCTTGTCTCGGAGTAATATTTTTACATTCAGGTGGACTAATTACAAAACCATGTGAACATTTGTGGACTAGTTAAAACATCTTTTCATCCTTGAACTGCTGCAATGATTTTGCTATAGTTAACGTTGTTGTGATGGGTTACACTATCGAACTAATGAAACATTAACGTCATGCATGTTTTTTTTTTTTGGTAAAAGTTGGATGTTTGAAACACTGGTGTAAATAAAAATGAGATTTAAAGTTTGATAAGATAAACAACTCAAACTTGAGTGCTATCTAGGGATATGGAGTGTACCAGCAGCTCATTAATGCTCCCATGATGCTCTCATGCATGAGTCGAGTTGGCTCTACTAGTCCCATAGACGAGTCATGGAGTGAGTTGAGCTTGATTTTCCATGTGAGCTACTGGTGGGCTCACACCGACGGGCATTCCGAAGCCAGGAAGCCAAAAATAAATAAACGAAGTTGAATTTTTAATGAAAAAATAAAAAAATGTGCAAGCTGCGAGCTGGCTAGGCTCGCCTCAACCTGGGGACCTTTGCACGGGCTGGACCATCTGGGAGCTGGGAAGCTAGAAAAAAAAAATAAAAAAATTCAATATTTAAAAGAAGAAAAATGAAAAAAAGTGAGTGAGCCGTGAGCTGGCTAGACTTGCCCCCTCCTAGGAACCTTTGCACGTTCCTATCTGGAACCTTTTGTGATGCCTGCGCCTCTTTCTATATTCATCGGATAAATACACTTAAAAGGGGATTGAGGGCTTTGCTCATTCACAATGTATCTCGAGAATGGGTAAGAAACTGTTCCATCAAGCATGGTTCTTCGACTAATTCACAAATGTCTAAGAAATTGTTTTATTCACATAAATGGGTAAGCATACTTGCATAACACGCTCAGCAAGAGCATAATATTTCTTAAAAACGTGCAGGAAAACAAATAGACAGCAAAAGTCTTGATATTGAAGGCCTAAAAAGTTCATTAATGTGATCAAATGAACATATCTAGCTAGCTGTATTACCAGGCTCCAACCCATCTTCACCATCCTGGTTAGGCAGTTCATTGAGGTTGAGCTTGAGAACTTGAAGGTCTTCTTTCTCTTCGTCCCATGTAGAGGTAACTAGGTGGGATGGAACATGATCGGCATGATTCTGAAATCCATGAGCCAGAACAGAAGGGAAATTATTGTTGCAAATCAGTGTGAATGTGTGATAAGTATTATAATAAACTGCTTTTTTACTTACGTTGTTTTCTTCCAATTGTTTGATGGCATTGGCATTTGGTCCATTTTTAACATAAGAATAATGAAATGGTGCTGTAAAATCCCCACCTTGAACTTTTACATTGCTTGATCTGTGCCCACCTGGTGCTTGAGGTGAAAGAAAACTCTTGCCACAAGTGCTGCAACTGTATTTATCAGGTGTCACGACTGGATCCTGGAGGGACAGATTCGATCGCCTGTCCATTATTCTTTTTCTTGATCGTCATTTCACGTTTAGTTCTAGAATTCAGTTTTTCCTTTCCTTTGCCGTTGTATTCTCCTGATTTGTTCCCGAAAAGGGTTTCCATCACTTTCACAAATTTTCAGCTTTTGAACCGGAGAATCCCTTTCGTCTCCAACCGGAAACACCTCCTTTTTGTTCTTGTTCAATTGACAATCCTGATTAACATTATAAATTTCATCCCGAGGAGTCCAGGAATTGCTGCCAATTGCTTCACCTTTGGCTTCTCTAACCTTGGACTCCAGGTCTTTACTAGGTTTCTTGGTATCTCCATTGACAGCTAGAGTTTCCTCTGAAGAAGCCACTACCGGATCTTATTCAATCTGATCACCATCAAGAATATGTGAAGGAAAACTCTTCGTCTTGGATTTCAGCTTCTTGATAGAGAAATCTCTGTTGGGCTGGTCATAAGCACTGCTCATGTGACCTCCCAATGCCATATCCTCCTCCGCAGCACTTTCTTTCATGTTTGGGAGCTTGAAGCCCGGAGTGCGCTGTCGACTGAACCTCCTTTTAACAAATGCCTTCTATTGCTTGAAAAAAAAAAAAATAATAAAAAATCAGAATTATCTAAAATTTACTAGAGAAACTTGGGCACCAAAAAAGTTTGTGTGATTTGTATTTTAGGCACATATAGAATTATCTAGAAGAAATCATATTAGTCACAAATTGATGTAAGCTATGGTCTATAAATAGGACATGAGTCTCTCATTAGTATGTAAGCAAAAGCCATTGTAAGACAAAACTAAGGCATTATCATTTTAATAAAGTTCCTTTCTCCTACCCACTTTGTTTACTAAATTACTTTCTATCAAAATCTTCCATACTATTAACTTCCAACAAAAGCCAACTATTTTCTACCTCCAAAATTTTCCATGCAAAATATATTAAACCATCTAATTTAATCTTATTACTACAAGAAAAATCATTAGTGGTATCAGAACTACGTTCGATTGATATTAGGCGAATAAGATGTTATGGCAGACGCTTTTTGTTCATCTATATTTATTCCAACATTTAATGGAGACAATTATTACTTTTGGTCCATCAAAATGAAGACCTATTTTTGTGTGCAAAATTTATGAGATGTCGTCAATGATGGGTATATTAAGAAGGTACGTACTTGTCGTCTTCAAACTTTAAGGAGTTTTGAAAATTTAAAAATGAAAGATTCTAAAATCGCGAAAGATTATTATTCAAAAATAGATGAAATAGTAAATCAATTAAGATCTTATGGAAATAATAAATAGATAAATTGACAGCTGCAGAATTAATGGGTTCACTATAAGTGCATGAAAAAGGATTAGAAAGGTGTTACGAGATTAACATGGAAAATGCATTCCAATCTAAAGTTAATATGCGATTTCAGAAATCTAAAGAAGGTGGGAGAAAATTTAAAGAAAATTGTAAAAATAAAGAAACTCAAGGAAAAGAATTTGATAAAAACGACAAGTATCTTTCATATGATATATGTAAAAGAAAAAGTCATTTGAAGAAGAATTGTTGGTTTAAAGGAAAACCACAGTGTCATCACTGTAAAAAATTTGGTCACGACGAAAAATCTTGTCCTTCTAAACAAAATCATAAAGCTAATTTCTCTGAAGAAAAGAATATAGAAGGAAGTTTATTTTATGCTACTAGCAAGGATGCATTTGATGACAAACTGGATACATGGTATCTAGACAGTGGTTGTAGTAATCATATGACGAAAGATGAAAGTATTTTTTGCAGTCCTGATAAAACCAAGGCAAAAATAAAGATTGGCAATGAAATTTTTATAGAGGCAACAGGCAAAGATACTATTGCCTTTAATAGAAAAAGGGCAAGATATACATCAATGAAGTTCTCTTAGTCCATACGATAGACCAAAATCTACTAAGCGTAGGTCAGATGATGGAGAAATGATATACTTTACGCTTTGAATGAGATTTTTGCAAGGTTTATGTCAAGAAAGATAAATCTCTTATAATTGCAAGAGTCAAAAAGCAAGAGAGCAGATGCTTTCCAATCCAATTGAGATACATAAACAATACGACAATAATGGCACAAGTGGACGAGTCATGGCTGTGGCACAAAAGATTTGGACATTTTCACTTCCATGGGTTGAAGATCTTGCAGCAAAAGAGCATGATGAGAGACTCACCAGTCATAAAAGAGATCAATGCAGTCAGCGAATGATGTTTGCTTGGGAAACAACATGCCAACCATTTTCGTCCGAAAAATCTTGGAGAGCTAAAAAGTCATTAGAGCTAATACATACAGATGTATGTGGTCCGATGCGTACTCCATTACATGAACAAAACAAGTACGTCATTCTCTTCATTGATGATTACACTAGAATGACATGAGTATATTTCTTACATGAAAAATCCCAAGTATTTGAGATTTTTAAAAGATTCAAAAGCTATATTGAAAAACAAAGTGGTTGCAATATCAAAACTATCAGAAGCGGCAGAGGCAAAGGATATACATCAAATGAATTCAATAAATTTTGTGAAGATGAAGGAATGGAGCATCAACTTACAGTTGGATACGTGCCTGAACAAAATGGCGTGTTAGAAAGAAAGAATAGAACAGTAATGGAGACAACTAGAGCTATGCTAATGGAGAAAAGTCTTCTAAACACTTTCTGGGCAGAAGCAGTAAGCACTGTAGTCTACCTACTAAATCAATGTCCGGCTAAATCTATGCAAGATAAAATGTTAGTGGAAGCATGGAGTGGACAAATACAATTAGAAAAGCATCCCAGAGTTTTTGGCAGCATTTGCTACACACACAATCCACAGGAGAAGCTAGATGGAAAAAAGAAAAAGGAATCTTCTTAGGCTTTAGTACTCAATCAAAAGGCTATCGAGAATATAATCTAAGAACAAAGAAGCTAATTATAAGTCGAGATGTTAAGTTTGATGAAGATGCCACCTATAACTGAGAGAGAGGTCAAGTCGAGAGAAAAGCTATCAGCATCCTTACATAATTTTGTCTACTAAATTACTTTCTATCAAAATTTTCCATACTACTAACTTTCAACAAAAAGTCAACTATTTTCTACCTCCAAAACTATCCCATAGAAAACGTATTAAACCATCTAATCTAATCTCATCACTACAAGAAAAACCATCACTTCATCTTTCTCCATTTTCAAGAAAGAAAAAAAATAAAGAACAGAAAATATTAACGAATTCAATTCTTCAAATAAATTTGGAAACAGATTTTGAGAAGAGCAGATTAATTCTACCAACACAATCAAACCCTAAAGAAAGAATATACAAGGGTAGTGAGAAAATACAAGAATTATGTAAGAAAAGTGGATGCAAAATTCAAAGGGTGTCTTAGCTTACAAGGAAATTGAACAAAAAGGAAACACTAGATCAACAAAGAAGGAAAGATTCTCATACCCAGGCTCAAAAAATTCAGATTTTGATAAACCATAAAAGAGCTCTCAGTGAGTCATTCAAGAGGTTAGGGAGAGATGCTTCAACTTTAGTAAGAGAAACACTCACTTTGGTCCCCCCTTGCAATTGAGATTTCATGTTCTTTGGTTCGATTTCACCTTCTTCAAATGGTGATTTTGAATTCAGCATACAAATCTGTCCAGATTATTGGTGGAAATCTTTAAAGTTTTGAGTTCAGCCTGCACTTCATTTTCTTGCTCTTGATTTGTTTTATTTTCATCGTTGGGTGAGTTTGATTTCAGCCTTTTGCTTATCGATCAACTTCGACGAGAAGCAGTGTGTTTTTTCCTTGAATATTTGCGATTTTCTTGGAGCTTTTAGTTTTGTCTGCTGATGGTGTGAATTTCGGCCAGTACTTTTTGGTAAACACCTTGAAGATTTAAGCTTTCCTTCAAGGTGTTCTTTGCCTTTTTGGGTAGTAATTCATATTTTTTTGGTATTGTTTTGTGCTCCATTTTCCAGCCTGCTCGTGTTCAAGGATTCCAGCTTAGTTTCTTTAACTACCTGCTCCCCTGGAGTTTTTAGCTTGGGTGCTATTTTGAGCTTTGTATACTGTTTGAATTTGGGTGTGACCCAAATTCTTTATTGAAGATAATTGAGAGTTTTAATTAAAATGCACATTAAGTGGAATTATATTTGGAATGCTTTTGAAATTCTATTTGAATTTTATTTGACATGGTCTAGTTGAAGTTTTATTTGGAAACTCATTGAGAGTTGGAATTTGTGTTAGATTCAAATAGATCGAGATAATGAGACTTTTGGGCATTTTATTTCATCTACAACTTTACTTCTAAGGTTTGAATTGTTCTCTATATATTGTTGACTTTTCATTATGATTTAATATGTAGTTAGAAACATTGTAAATAATTCTCTCTATATTATAAGAAAATCTCTGTTCTCTGCAAAATTACATTGTTCGTGTTCTTATCATCAAGTACTACCTATTGTGACTTAATCTCATTTTCTCAAACAAAGTGATATTGGATTAATTCGGTGTTATTTTTGCTTTTGACAACAAATTGGTATCAAAGTTACTCCACTTTAAGAAGAAGTTTGTTCCATTGAAACAGTTTTATGTTCAGGCGAATATGGCATCTTCTACTCAAGTTCTTGTCAAGAACAGATTTGAAATCTCGACTATGGCTTTAGGAACATGATCTGTATCTCTTGCTCTTGGTAAGGCAGTCATTGCTCCCACTGGTTGTTCAGCTAGGAATGACGAAAATACCCGTCACACCCAGTACCTACGGTTCCCGTCTCGAAAGGGGTGGGAATTAATTGCTCAATCTAGTAATCGGGTCGGGTACGGGTAATGGGGGTCCCGTCCCATCCCGTTTATTTTTTTTTCATAACTCAGTACTTTAAATGGAAAAACTTCAAGAAATTTCATTAATTCCAATAGAAGGCGTCAATTAAGATTATCTAAGGAATATGATAAAAAATAAAAGCCATAGTTTACCAAATATATTCGAAAACTTTAACTTCTAAAAATGAATAAATTAATTAAAAAATTTAATAACTATATTATTATTTCGCTTGAATGAATGGGACAATAAATTGAGTTATCAAAAACTATAAAAAAATAAAAAAATAAAAAAAAATTAAATGGATATGTAAATGGGATAACTGTCCCACATTGCCTTAAATGAGTAACAGGGTGGTTATGAGGCACGAAAATGCCCGGCGGGAAACTAGCCCCGTTGCCAACCCCATGTTCAACACATGAAGACACAAAATCTGATAAGGAAGAAACAGATTCTGAAGAAAACATCACATATGTAGAGTCGGCTGCAAAATCTCAAAATATTCAAGGTAAACAGATTGATTTTGACGAGGAAGATGCAGTATCTGAAGAGGATGACGCAGAATCTATTGAGGAATCCACAGAGCCTGGAAATCCGACTGTTAAAACCTCAAAATAATGATTCTGGCCAAGTAAAACAAATGGATATGCTGAAACCTTAGTGGGAAAATCTGTTCAAGGATAACAGGAAGCTAGATGCAGGTATTAAACTTCAAAGTTTTGATAATCCTTAAGACGAAATCATTTTGGGTGAGCAAGAGATAGATGATGTCGAAACTACTTGGGGGCATTGCCTAGTTGGATATTTTACTGGAAAGATCCCAGGTAAGATTGCACTACTTCAAATGTGCTATTCTTGGACAGTGAAGTTAGGGCTGGACATGGTCCGGTACCGAACTGAACCGAACCGAAATTTTCGGATTTTTAGTAAGTGGAACCGTCGGGTCAAAATTTAATTACGGAACCGTTCGGGTTCGGTTCCATTCGGTTCGGTTCGGTTCCATATTATAATTAAATTTTTTAATATATACAAAGTTACGTTAATTTAATTAATGATATATTTAACGTTAGCTCTTACAAAATAACGTAGTTCAATCTTATGTGTTTCATATCTCTCTTTGCTGAATTCTTCTAAATTTGATTATTAAAATCACAGAAAGAGAAAGATAGCGAGCCCAAAATAATTAAGAGAGATGTTATAGAGCTTTAATTCGATTTTCTCCGGTAGAAACGACACTACAGTAGAACAACATATTTGGATAAAATTGAGGTCAATTTGATTAAGTCGATTTTGAACTGAATATTAGAAATAGGACAATCATATTTTGTGGTTTGAACTAAATTAACTAGTTAACAAATTTATTTAGAAAAAATAAAATAATTTTACTTATTTAAAATAAATTAATTAAAAAAATTACAGAGATTCGGTTCTTATTCGGTTCTTCGAATCTTGGCCTAGAACCGAGAACCGAACCATACCCGTTGGTTCTTGATTCAAATACCCGTTCGGGTCTTTAACTTGAGAAGAATCGTCGGGTTCAGTTCTGTTCGGTTCGAGTTCGGTTCGGTCGGTTCGGTTTGGGAGTTTTGTCCAGCCCTAAGTGAAGTACCATTATTTTGTGTATAATAGTAGTTTATTGATCTTTAAATTTGATGATGGAGCTGTCGAATTAAAGGTTTTGGAAGGGGGCCCTTATTTTGTTTTTGGGCGGCCCTTAATTGAAAATCATGCCCCAATGTTTTGAGTTTGATGATAGCGAGACTTACTCCATACTGATTTGGATTAATTAATCGGGTTTATCTTTGGACTATTGGAAACCAAAAAGCTATGTTAAAAAATATTGTATCTGAAGTGGAGAAACCAATTTCGACGGATAAACTAACATCAACCAAGGGCAGATTATCTTATGTCCGAGTTCTTGTTGCGGGTTGATGCATCTAAAGAATTGGTTCGTTTCATTCATATGAAAATGCTTCCCGGTAAGTAAAGAGAGCAACAAGTTGTTTAAGAGCATGAACCGAAGTTTTGCTCGACTTGTAAGTCGTTCAACCACAATACACTTGGTTGCAACTTGAAGAAACGGGATGCTACAAGCAGCAAAGAAAATTCCAGCAACACCTATTGGAAATATAGAGGTGTTAATGAAATCGGATTACAATATATCATATGTGTAGTTTAGCTACTAATTCTAAGCATACCGTATATGCATATATCGTATATGCCACTTACTGTATTTGTAGGCAGTTTACCGTATATATAGCTTATCGTATTTGCAGCATACTATATTTGTAGGCAACTTATCGTATATGCTGCCTATCGTATTTGTAGAAAGCTCACCGTATTTGCACAAAATTTTCACAAACTATTTTTATTTCATTTCATAAACAGTGAGTGATTTACATATATTTGTTAGATATCGTATATGCAACTAACTTACTGGATATGCACTTACATACACCAAAATGTAGAAAATATCATATTTGTATATATTATCTAAATAAATACCGATTGAACAACTACCAAACTGAATATTATCAAATTAATTAATTTTCTTCAGATTTTTTTCGACATACAAATAATAAAATTATATGAATCACATATAACAACATAAACTGAAAAATCTATGAAGCATAAGATTAAATTGTAAATATGTAAATCGCTAAATAAATTTTCAACTCGAGACCTATGCGAACACAGTTTCCTTAAAACAGATTCGCCCCTTCGCCGTAAGTGCTTGAGATTCAATTCGAGCGTCTGTTTCCTAGGATACAACGATATCAGTAAAATCTGAGCACTACAGAAACTATTCGGACGAACTGAGTATGTAGTCGAACAATAGCACCACCGTGACTTCGGACAGAAACTGAGATTACGTATACAGACAGCAAAATTATACAGTATGCACACTATATTTTTGTGTGTACAGACAAGTTTATTTTTTCTCTTGTATTTTTGAGTATGCTGGAATTGTCGAAAAATTATGAGATTTAATATATAAAATAAATCTGCCATCTGTTATTAACTCTGACAATAAACATTGGAGCCACTTCAGTTTCTGCTGGAGTTTTGGCAGTTTTCGAAAACTCCAAGGTCAGTTGGAGAAAGTAAAAATTTCCAAAACGTGGACACTCCAAACGGGCCAATTTTTGCTCCATTTGGTTCAACATTCGTGTACGTAGATTGCGCCCCCACACACAAATTCTAGGTCTAAAGGCAAATTCGGTCATGATTTGCACCCCCTGCGCGCGCACGTGGAGAGAACCTCTATACTACACATGATTACACCCTTCCAATGTGCAACCATATTTAAAGTGGTCATTGCTTTCATATTTTTCCTATGTGGGACTAATGTAATTTTTCCACTTAAACCATCTTTCAATTGTCATCTTTGAGCTCTAATTTCTCATTCACCCGAGTTTTATTTTTGGCAAGTAAATATATGATTTTGATGTACTCACGGAGGAGAACACATATCGACTTTGATCTTCCAAATTGGACCAACGTGTCCCACAAAAAATATTGCCAAAAATGAGACATTTATTCATTTTTTCCAACAATTCCCTACATGAATAAGAATTGGGAGAGACACGAGATCGTGAGACACAAGATGTGATGATAAAGTTCAACGGTTGAAGCCTGCATAGGATAGGTAGGTATTACTCTTTGAACCTTTCCTTGTGAAGACATATTTACTTCACCAGTTGACCAATAGTTGTGTTATCCTTGAACTATTATGCCATTTATTTAAACGATGATATACTCCACACAGGATTCTTCCTAACACAATTCAGTTCTCATTATTATATTTGTTTTGACCATAAACATATGCCTAGTTTTGTGAGAGTTCTTAAGAATTGAGCCCCATACAATTCTCTTAGAAGCAGCCCCATTTTTCTCTCACATAGGTGATTTCTTATTACAAGTAACTCGGATTACTTGGCTCGAACTTTGACGCATAAGAGTTATTAAAAGCATATTTTTTATCCTTCATCCTTAAGGGCATCACTGTTACATCATAGTAATGGACAAGAAGAAACACCCCACAGTGATTTTATTAAGCATTTACAATTAGATTGTCCCTTTGAATCTAGATCTTGGGATTTTCAGTCAATTAAGTTGGGTTTCCTTTGTAATGACTTATTCATTCAAGAGCTTAAGTCTCATTTCTTTCGATGATTTTCCAACCAACTCTCTATTTAACCCTTTGGTTAGCGGATCCGCAATGTTATCTTTTGACCTTACATAGTCAATAGTGATCACTCCAGTTGAGAGTAGTTGTCTTATGGTATTGTGTCTAGGACGTATATGTTTAGACTTACCATTGTACAAGTTACTCCGTGTCCTTCTTATTGCTGATTGACTCTTACAATATATGCAAATCGTTGGCACAGGTTTTGACCATCTTAGAATATCTTCTAAGAAGTTGTGCAACCATTCGACCTCTTCACCACATTTATTTAGAATTATAAACTCAGATTCCATCGTAGATCTGGCTATAACTGTTTGCTTAGAGGATTTCCACGATATGACAATGCTCCCAATGTGAACACAAATCCACTGGTGGACTTTGAGTCTTTTATATCAGATATCCAATTAGCATCACTATATCCTTCAATGACTGTTGGATATCTGGTATAATGTAGTCCATAGTCAACGGTATATCTTAAGTACCTTAGTACTCTTACTATTTCTTTCAAGTGATTAGCTCTTAGATTACTCGTATATCTACTCAGTTTACTGACTGTGTGGGCTATGTTTGGTCTTGTACAACTCATCAAGTACATTAGACTTCCAATAACTCTCGAGTATTCTATTTGAGAGACACTTTCACCTTTGTTTTTAGATAGATGTTGACTTGTATCTATCGGTGTTCTAGCCAAGCTAGTATCATCCTTATTGAACTTTTTTCGAAATATTGTCCACATAATGTGACTGACTTAGAACCAGCCCATCTCATGTTCTTAAGATTTTGACTCCAAGTATAACATTAGCTAAACCCATATCTTTGA